TAAAATCAGTGTTGAATAGAATACTGGTTCACCTTGCTTGGTTTTGATTTTAAAAAATACAAGTCGTCACCATTTCATCATTAAGTATATTTCTTGTGTTTTGTAGATACTACTAATCATATTGTGAGGTTAGCCCAGGACCGGGCAGTATTTTGTTCTGTTGTGCACAGTGTCACTATGAGTCGGTACCAACTCGATGGCACCTAAAAACAACAACAAAAACAACAAATGGAATTACTTTTAGTCTGTTTTCTGAGAATTTTTATCATGCATCATTAAATTTTGTCAAGTTATATTTCTATATCTATTGAGATAATTATCTGCTTTTTCTCATTAAGTTTGTTAAAGTGGTGAAATATAATCTTCATTTTAAAAACTTTTCAAGCATATGTACAAGCAGAAAATTTTATAAATCATGATTGTGTAGTTGATTATAATTATCCATAATTGAACAAACATATGAAACCATCAGTCAAGAGATAGAATTTCAACAGTTGCTCAGAATTTCAAATTGTACCCACTTCCAAGTCCTGCCATTTCTACTCCACAAAGTAACCATTATTCTGGATGCTGACTTTTTTGATCAACAGAATGTTTGTGAGAGTCATTCATGTTGTATATATTGTCCATTCATTTTCATTTCTGTATTAATTAGACATTTGATTATTCTGTATTAATTAGACATTTGATTGTTTCCCGTTTTGAGCTGTTATGAATAATGCTGCAGAGAGCACCCATGTACTTATCTCTTAGTGCACACTAGGTGTATACTTAGAAATAGATTTGTTAACTCATAAGTTATTGTCATGATTGCACCTTAAAAGTCGCTATAAAAAAGTTTTCCAAAGTGCTAGGACCAGTTATATTGCCACTTAAAGTGGCCTTGTAATTTTCATAATGCCTTTTATATTGTGGTGCTTTGAGCTTTTTGGAGTTGTGGGTTTGTAGTTTTCATCAGATTTGAAATTTGTGACCCATTTCTTCTTCAAATATTTTTATGTCCCCTCATCCTCTTTTGGGAGTTTAAATACATACAATTTAAAATTGTTCCACAAGTCACTTGATGCTGTTTTGTTTGTTTGGTTTTTTTCTTTCCATTTTTGCTGCATATATCATTTTGGATAGTTTCTGTTATTATGTCTACAATTGTTTTAATCTTTTCCAGTACATTGCATCACACACATTATAATTTTTGTCATTTTTATTCCTAGAAGTTGTATCTTTTTTGTTATTTGCATGCCCACCAATATTATCCAAAGGAGCTCTGGTAGCATTGGGTTATGAGTCAGGCTGTTAAGGTCACAGTCAGCTGTTCAAAACTACCAGAAATTCCAAAGGAGAAAGACAGCCTCAAAAACCCTATACAGGGACTCCATGAGCTGGAATCGACTCCATGGTACACAACCACCACCACCACCCATTTATCCATAGCCTCACCAATTATCAAATTCTGTAATTCTAAATTTACATATAGAGTCCTTGTGTAGTGCTGTAGGATAAGTAATGGACTCCTGGTGCGGTGCTGTGGATTAATGCGCTGAACTGCATAGTCGGTTTGAACTGCAAGGTTGGCGGTTCAAGCTCACCATCTATTATTCCTCAGAAACTCTATACAGGGTTGCTATGGGTCAGAACCAACTCGACAGCCCTTAACAACAACAACATTAACCATAAGGTTAGTGGTTCAAATTCAGCAGCTATTCCTTGGAAACCCTCCACAGGATTCCTTTGAGTAAGAACCTACTCGATGGCACTTGTTTGTTGTTAAGTGCTGTTGAGTTGGTTCCAACTCATAATGACCTTGTATAAGGCTTCCGAGGAATATTTGGTGGTTTGAACTGTTGACCTTTTGGTTTTCAGTTCAGTACTGATTCTGTACCAGCACACCAGGATTACACTAGACAACAACAAATTTGTATACACTACTTGTCTGTCAGTTTGTCATATTGTGGTGGTTGTGTCTTGCTGTGATGCTGAAAGCTATGCCACCAGTGTTTTAAGTACCAACAAGATCATCCATGGTGGACAGGTTTCTGTGGACCTACTAGACTAAGACAGACTAGGACGATGGAGTGGCAGACCACTTCTGAATGGTTAACCACTGAAAACCTTATGTACAGCAGTTGAACATTTTCAAATATGGTGCCAGAATATTAACCCCTCAGGCTGGAAGGAACTC